AGTTGTGGAGTCCACTTCCTTGGTGCCAGCCTGGTGATGCTAGGCCACAGTTCCACTCCCAGGTCAGGCTTGACCTGGGGGCAGCATCAGCGGACAGAAGGAGCATCATCTGGAGCTCCATGCCTCTCCTCCCCTGGCCTCCAATGTACAAGCTCTGTGAGGTTGCAGCTCCTCTCCTGGGTCAGGCACGACCCAAGGGCAGCAGCAGTGGAGAGAAGGAGTGGCAGCTCCTCCACTGGGCCCAGCATCACCAGGCCACAGCTCCTCTCCTGGGTTAAGTCTGACCCAGGGACAGCAGTGGCAGAGAGAAGGAACGGCGGCAGTAGTGCCACACCTCTCCTGCACATGGCTCCAGTGTGCGAAGGAGGCGAGGACAGCCCCTGCGGGGAGATCATCCTTGCAGCACCGGCTATTCTAGCAGCTCCTGCAGTAGGCGGGCTGGAGCTGCTGGTTCCAACATGTCACTCATGCTGGGCTTCAGTGGTGGCAGTGAGCCTCTCGTCTTCCACCTGCTCTCCAGCAGCCGCTACAAGCTTCCAAAGGGAGGAGGCCAGCAGCGGCAGCCATGGAGAGGCTTGGCCAGCTCATTCTCTTCCCCAAGCTTGGTGGTGGTTCTGGAGCAGGAAAATGGAACATTCCTGGATCCAAATGGAAGCCAGGGATGATTCTGTGAATCCAGAATGCCCCACTAAAATTGAGGCGGTTGGAGGGTATGCCTTATTATGAATACATTCATGTATCGTTATTTTGACCCCTTCCCTATGTTCATATAATATGTGTAAGAAACTAAAGTAGAGGCAGTCAAGCAACAGTTAAAGCTTGTGTAGGCTGATCCAATGCCTCTTTATTCAGAAGTCTTTCTGGGTTTTGTTGTTGTTGTTGTTTAGTCGTTTAGTCGTGTCCGACTCTTCGTGACCCCATGGACCAGAGCACGCCAGGCACCTCTGTTCTCCACTGATTAAATAAGATTTCAGAGGCAGAAAATTAATACTGCAATTAAAATCAACAGGGTTTAAGAGAGCCTATGTTTCATATACTCCTATGTTTTGTAGCCAGGAGAATGCTCAGATTTCCATGTTCATAAAATGGCATGTTGGTTTGGAACTCAGGACTCAGCTACATTAGATTATTTATTTTTTTTAAAAAAAGTTTCAGATGCATTATAACCCTGTGACACCAGATGGCGCTGTAGAGTTTAATCCTTTGGCAATGTGATTTTCCATTATGAGCTTTACAACAGATTTTCCTGAAACTTTTTTTTTGATGTGTCTAGATCCACCCTCAGTGTATTTCATTTGTCAGCACAGTACAAATCCAATGGGCCATATTCTAATAGGACAACAGCATCACATTTAGACTGTTGCTTATCAGTATGTTTTGGTTGCAGGCATCATACGGAAACTCATGAAATGTCTTCTGTGTTTGTAATTCTATTACTTGATTCCTGTAGTGTGCAGATTGGTCTACACACATTCCAGTTAATATCACATGTATAGTTTCCAGGTAAGCATCAATATTCTAGCAAGGTATCTACTAGGAAGGGTTCTGTGATGTTCCACATAACAAAGAATTCAGAAGTGGAGGTCACGAGGGAACAGTAGGAAACAATGACTTGCAATGCATATATCAGTCTAAGGGAAATATTCAAATAATTTCATATTTCAAGTCGAAGAAGAAATCAACCGGTGGGTAAAAGGAGATCCCAGCTGGAAGCTATTGCACTGGTGACTTATGTGTCACCCTTGAGATCCATAATGTAATGAACAGACCCTCCTCTATGGCCGGCACAGTTAAAGATCCTCTTTAATGATGTGTGTCACTGCAAAATGATAATGTTCTTCATGGAGCCCTTCTTTAATGAGGTGTGTTACTTTGTAATGATAATGTTCTTCTTTGGGTTAGAGACAATAGTATAAAATCACTAACCCATCATATTAAGGTTATTTCTATGATATTTGGCATCAGTTAGCTGAAGCTGTGAATATTGCAGTCAGATAAAGTGGTTGGGGGCAGGAGGGAGAATGAGTAATCAACATATCTAAATCTCAGCATAAAAATAACTTGTAAAAATATGTTCTAAAAGTAATTTACTTTAGCTACTGTTATACTGAGTACCTCATATTTACATACATACAAATGGGCATTATTGTAGCAAACTGCCTTTTGTTGTTGCTTGAAATCCACTTTGGAATGGAATAATTCAGAGCAGATTGATGGCATGCACAAAAGGTACAACCCTTTCTTACCTGTGACTCTGATAATCTCAAATCATATTAGGGCCACTAATTAGGAGCTTCTTCCATGTTAGTGGTACTTTCAATCTTCTCCAGTCTCTTTATCCTTTCTCTGCTTACTAGGAACCACAAAGCTATTTCCTATTTCTTTTCCCAGTGTATCATGGGACAGAGGCATGAAGCCCACCCCTCTTTCACTATACAGTGGTACCTCGGGTTAGGAACTTAATTCGTTCTGGAGGTCCGTTCTTAACCTGAAACTATTCTTAACCTGAGGTACCACTTTAGCTAATGGGGCCTCCCGCTGCCACAGCAGTGCAGCCGTGCGATTTCTGTTCTCATCCTGAAGCAAGGTTCTTAACCCGATGTACTATTTCTGGGTTAGCGGAGTCTGTAACCTGAAGCGTCTGTAACCTGAAGCATCTGTAACCTGAGGTACCACTGTATTCTATGTCTCATAATGTCTTTGGATAGCTAACCAGAAACTTCATTTTTTGTAATGCCCTGACCTTCCTTCTCCATCTTTAACTACACTGTCAGATCAAACAAGTTTCTTCCCTAAAGATTTCTTGTTTTCTGATAATGGTGTTTATATATGTGTACCTTCTTGTAGCAAATATGCTTTTCTTTGTAGATTCCTTCTAATAAATTTCAGTGAGGTGTCAGGTATCAGTGAGGTATCAGTGAGGTGGGACTTTTGTTGAACTGTGAATGTGCCTCATATTTGATCTCATGCAGGAAAATAGAAAGTCATCCAATATTTTCCTAAAACTTGTAAATCCATGCATTAAAAGCCCTAGGCTTATGAATGGAGTTTAAGAGTTAGGGAAATGTATGAAAGCGTGGTTCATTAATATGAAACTTGTGAAGCAGGAGTGTTGTTTCTTATTTGTTAGGCATAGTTATGGAAGGAGCATTTTACCAGCTACTGGGCTGTTTTTGATTTAGTTTAAATCTGTTTTTGCTATTGACTCAGTCATTGGCAATGAAACAAAATACATAATCATGTAACACAAATGTATTTGTACCACTCACTAGAATCCATTCATAAAAACTACACAGAGTGGAAGTTGATTATTGTCTCATTGTAATTGTTAGAATTTTAGCATAAGTCCATAATCAAGGAATGAGATATCAAGCTTGTAAAAGGAGCTAATTTTGGATAGCAAATTCCGTTATGATTGAATGCTATTTAATTTTGGCATTTTTTTTGCAAAAAAGGAAGAAGTTAACTATACATTATAATCAATTTGGAATAAAATATGTAGCACAGCTCACAAATCTTGAAATGAGGCTTTGTTGCTGCAAGTGAACAGTCTTTGTAGACACAGGAGGAGATTGTGTAATTCAATCTATTCAACTACCCTTGGGAAATGGCTTTATGGATACAATGGGGGCAGAGAGCAGTTATAGTTCACAAAATGCCAGTGTTTCAAAGAGTGGCATAGCAGTGATGCTCAAAGCAACAATTGTTTTCTTTATATATTTTTCTTTGCAACAAAGATTCATTCTTTACCTTGAGTGTATGATGTGAGTCCAGTTGAGAAGACCCATACAATGCTAAGGAGATCTATGAAATATTTTTCCTAAGTTATAAAATGGATAAAACTTGCAGGAACCACCCATGCAATCTAAACATGCTTTTCACAAAATTCAGTACCCAAGAACATGGCTCTAAAGCATTCTGGCTGCTTCTAGACAGGTGGGATTCAACTGCATAACAGCAAATTTAGAATGCACAGTAGATCTGATCCTCTTGTGCAACATACCCAGTTTCAGACTTTTGCAGTAAGGCAAATGCACAGGGAAATGCACTGTACACTATGGAATAACAACTGCTTGGCATAACACCATATAACCTCCCTGCAAACAAATCAGCATGAGAGCTTGAGAAACAAGCTACCTAGAAGTGACCTCTTTGCATGTGATCATTACAGGGCTGGCTCTAGGTTTCTGAGGGTATTTGGGCACAGGGTATCAGAGGTTCATCAACCCCTCCCTTTCCTCTTCAAATACTCTCAAGGGAAAGGATGGTCCACCCCTTCCCCTCTCCTAGCATCTATTAAACTATGGATATTTCCCATTGCCCCAATGAGCCTTTGAAAATGTTGCAGTGTGGAGAGACTGAGAATACCAGAGAAACATACGAAAGGACAGGGGCTTTATTTTTATAACTGTTATAGCTAGTGAACATTGTTCTTAACTTTTGAACCAAGTCTTCGCATAAAAGCAATATTCAGTTCAGAATGGAAATTTGTAGAATCTCTTTACAAAACCACTAGAATTCAGTTCAGGTAAAATACCTGGAGGTGCAGATGTCATAATGTAGTATGAACAATATGTAAAAGGGAAGTGATATGGCAGATTCCAAGCTCTGCACTTTCACTGAATGTCATGTACACAGTTAGTGTGTACTGAAGTAGCATTTCTGCCCCCTCTGCTCAGCCTAGACACTGAGGTCTAGCTCTGAGGGCCTTTGGGGGTTCTCTCATTGCAAGAAGTGAAGTTACAGGGAGCCAGGCAGAAGGCCTTTTCAGTAGTTGCGCCTGCCCCTGTGATTTGCCCGTCCATCAGATGTTAAAGAAGAGAAATAAATAATTATACAACCTTCCATAGACATCTGAAGGCAGCCTTGTTTCAGGAGGCTTTTAATATGTGATATTCTAATTGTGTTTTGTAAATACTTTTGGAAGCACTGTTGGAGTACAAGATAACTTCTTCTTCTTCTTCTTCTTCTTCTTCTTCTTCTTCTTCTTCTTCTTCATTCCTGTATACTTATATACAGATCAACTCACATATACACAATCCAAAGCCCTCTATTTCCTAGGACCACATTTATGGGAGCTTAAACAACTGCACTTTTCTCATGGATACCTGCTGCATTCTGTACATGAAGACAAAGTACAGACATTCTGGCTGATACTGCTTCCAACCTTCATGCATTAAGGGGAAATTATTTTTACACACACAGAGAGAGGGGGGCAGAGAGAGGTGGGGGGGGGGCTATAAAAATACTGTATGTGAATTACTGCAAAGTTCATAGACACTCATGCCTTAGCTTTCATGCAGAGAATTTGGACCTATAATTGACAAGCACTCTTAATAACTTTCTTTGGAAATACCAGTTGCTAGGATGCTTAACTAACAATAGTTAAACAACTACCCTTGTATAGTGAGCCATCTTCTTCCTAACACTGGTGAACAAGTTTCAAATGTTAAAAAGCCACCTTTCCCAAAATGTCCTTTTGTAGGTAAAAAAGTCCATTTTTATATGCATGTCCATCCATCTCTAAGTCATCTTGTACTACTATTAAGAAAGGTTTTTAATTATTTAAGCAGTAACATAAACAAGCCATTAGTTAGTACAGTTAATAATCCATGACAATTTAGCTCCGAATGAAATCCTTAAATTTAGTATTATTTATTAGCCAATTTGATTTCTTCCTAGGCATTTATCTATCAAAGTAGGCATTCTGATTGCATATGCATTATGTAAGATGAAAAATAAACCACGTAGCTGTTGATAAGACAAACATTAGTTATTGAAGCAAATCAAAATCCTTCCCAATGCTGTTTTTCACTATAGTTAAGAAATCTCTTAAGCAACCCTTTTGTGCAGAGTTGGGAAGCAAATAAAGCAGAAATTAATTGATTTGCTACTGAAATTATTCAGAAGTCAATTTTGAGGCAACAAACTATTTGCATTATTGGGGAGCGGGAAATCTGCCATGGTTTAATGGTTACGATCTTTATTTTTATGGATTTTAACCCTTGACACAGTAGAATTGAGAGCAAAAACTACTGTTATGCATTAGTAGATTACAAAGCCCAACATGTAGTGAAAGATTTTCCATGAAAATATTCTCCTTAATATTGGGAAATAAAAGACAAAAAAACAGGATGCCTCTTCTAAGTCAAATGAAGCAGAAACAGTATGGCTTATGCAAAGGTAAGTCCTGTCTCACTAACCTATAAGATTTCTATGAGAGTGTCAACAAGCATATAGGCAGAGGTGATTCACATGACACTGTGTACTTGGACTTTCAGAAAGCTTTCGGCAAAGTATATCACCAAAAAGTCCTAAGTAAGCTAGTAATCATAGAATTAGAGAAGAGGTGCCTATAACTGGTTAAAGAGCAGGAAGCAGAGAGTGGGAATAAATGATTCTAATACTCATCCTTGAGGAAAACCACTTTCCTTATGTTGCAATGAGTATTAGAATCAGTGCCTTTTAACTTGTTAATAAACAATCTAGTATTAGGAGTTAGTAGTGAGGTAGCCATGTTTGCTGATGATACTAAATTGTTCAGGGTGGTTAAAACAAAAAGTGTTCCAAAAGAACTTCTCAAAGCTGAGTAAATGGGCAACAAAATGGCAAATAGGGTCCTCCCTTAAAGAGGGCACGTGTTGCGGTGAGACCTGGCAACCAAACCCTGCATTGTGGGTGGGTAAGATTGGTTAGCCACAACACCCAATTGGTAGGTCCCTTGATACAGGGTTTAATCAGGCCAATGGGACGCAGGCTAAATGGATCAAGGGACCTATATATGCCTATGCACGTGACCCAGAGCTTCCTCTTTCGGTGCGTGCATTGGAACACCCGCCCACCTCTCCCTATTTTTAGGGCTTGTGAGCTTGACCTTGCTATGCCGTCGTGTGTCGTCTGTTGTTGGGACAGGGCCACAGCAGGAATTTTCCCCACTTGGCTGATGCCATTTGGGATTCGACTGCCGCGTAGCAAATCATCACAACTTGTAAGGTTGCGGATAGGCTGTGGTTCAGGTGATAGGGATGGGAGAATGCTCTCACCATCCCTATGTGAAGGGTATTCCATAAAAGGAATCAAGGGACTCGATGGTTTGGTCAACCCCTGTGAGGGGGTTGTGCCCGTGCCTGAGTCCAGGGGGGTATTAGGGTGGCGGAGATGGCCTGTTCCTGGTTTTCCACTGATCCAGGTGTTCACCCTAGGCTGACCTATGCTGGTACCCTGGGTCAGCACTACCTGCAATGGTGCAGGGAGCTAGTCGAACCAGACCCTATGCAGCCACTCACTTGCTGTAATCAATAAAGTTGTGGCCTAAATTCTGCCAAAAACCAAACCAAAATTTGAGTCTTATCTGAATTTATTTAAGGGGGAGGTTTAAAGCTCTGAACACGCAAATGTAAATCAGTGTGGATGCATACAATGACCAGGGCAAAAGATATTAATATCACATATGCGCTTATGAGGTGCTGATAAACTGTGAATGAGCCTTTGGGGTCATAGTGAATAGCTCAATGAAGAGGTCAACTCAATGTGTGGCAGCTGTGAAAAAGTCAAATTCCATGCTAGGAATCATTAGGAAAGGAATTGAAAATAAAACTCCCAATATCATAATACCCCCCACCCCCCCAAAAAATTCCATGTTTCCTCCTCTCTCCTGTTCTGCAACCCCTTTTGTGAGTCGAGGACCTGCACCCGCGTAGTGGTGAATAAGAGACAAGGACACAATTATTTAGGTTAATGGGCTGAAAAGGCCACAACTTTTATTAATTATGGCATGTGAGTGGTATTGGCTTAGGCATTGGATCACACAACATATACATGTACGATCCAACGTCCTCCAAGCAGCTGAATGAGGCGCGGAGGCTGCCGTGGCCGCTTGAATGCAGCTAAACCCCGCCCCTGGGCCAACCCTATTGGCTGGCCAGCCGGAGGGTGGTGCGGCAGCAGGGTGATGATGCAGGGGGCTGAACACACACCCCTGCCGACACAGGAACGGCTCCCACTCACAATACCTCCCCTCTGGGAGGAGGAGAGGCTTTGCACACAATCTCACGATATATATTACTGTATCTTTAAGATCTTAAGAGCAAAGGCCTGTCAGTTTGTTCAGTAATCTATTATGGGTATTGTTTGTTATATGTATTTTTAGAAACTGAAAAATAAAGTAAAGAAGACTTAGAGAAGGTTTCATTCAGTTAATGGATATTGTAGATATATGGGTGTTCACTTGTTAATAAAATACCTGCTCTAAATTATTATGTTGAATCTGGAACTTTAGACAACACATGGTACCATGAATGAAATACATTCTGTGAAGTACCTTTCTGATTGTTTAAAACTGCTACTTTTCCCCTGGTAGTGAAAAGTAGGGTGCGATTAAGTATGTCAGTGGTTCAGAATTTCTATTTACACTTTAATAAGAGAACCCCTATGTAGCATTAAATCTGCACTTGAAAATATAAATGGCCTTTTCCTAATTATTCTGGCAGATCTAAGATTTCACCTGTCACAAGTCTTCACTGATTTTTTTTCATGCTCTGATTCATTACAATGCATTAAGTACATTTGCCTTCCTGTATTACTATTCAAGGATGTTCTTTAAGTCCTTAAAATTAAGAAAATGTTTGTCTCCTTGTCATTATTTACACTTAAAAGTGCCTCACACTTCATGGGTGAATAATTAATGAGGACTTGAGACATCTGATAAAACTTCGTCTCGTAGAAACCCTATGCCAATCCTCTTCACAGCCCCAAGCACATACAAAGTCATTAGGGATATTTTATTCAAGCTAGACAACATTGATTTAGCCACATAGGTCCTATTGACATTAACTGTAGGCAGGCTTCTAAATCATTGTACATTGTAGTGGAATCACGGCAATTACTCTTAACAAGATCACTTTCAGGGTGTTATCCCAAAGATTATTAAATAATGGAATCTTGGCAAACAGTGAACTGATGCAATATTTCAAAACATGGGTCTGATATGCTCAGCCGAGGCAGTATATTATGGCTGTATTTAGGCGAACAGCTATGCCAATTTAAACCAGATGATTACATGGCCTCCTATATTGTGCACTGAAGTTCTGCATTGTGGCAATTCAGATGTGTCTGAAACTATTTAGTATCTTACTCCAAGTTAAATGAAGAAGCAAAATTATTTTCCTCTTGTAACAGAAAAGCCTAGCGGTATGGAGGTGATGTGGCTGGGGAAAACTATAGCAAATTATGGATTTTCATACCAATAAGCTATTTCCAGTATTCTCCTTCTGACACTCTCATGAGAAATGAATACAAATGAACCATTGCAGCTATCATAATTTTTGTAGTACCATTTAGCATAAAAATTATTTTTATCATTCTTGCCATTTTAATGATCTGAACTAGGCTGATTTACTTCATTTTTCTCAGACGATAAAGCCCAGAAGATAGGAGAAGACTTATAAGGGAAGCTCTAATTCCATTGAGATTACACCATCCATTATGTTATGGAGGTATAACAGAGTCATACTCACCAGGGCCTCTGACTGCTGCAAATGCCACTGCTCTTCTACGCACTACTAAGTGCCTAGTGCTGTGCTTAACAGCCTCTTTCTGCCCTGTAATATGTACACAATGCTATTCTACCACCCTAGTTTATTAATCTGACTAAAATAGATATTTATTTCCGTTGTAGGACTAACGAAAGAAGAAGAAAACTCCACATGCTACAGTTGTTGGCATCCACCTGTTTCAGGAGACAATGGAGAAGTATGCCTTTACAGGTGAAGTCAAACCACTGGAAAGTTACAGCGCCTGCTGTGGCTACAGGGACCGATATAGGAGAGACATACTTTGTTGCAGCTGGTGCAGATGAAGGTGACTGGTTGTGCTACTGATATGCAGCTTCTCCCAGTGGTCAATCCTCCTCTGGTCACTGCTGTGGATACATAACTTGGCTGATTGTCTTCAGGTGCTGCCGTGCTAATGTTGTCAGCCTTCATGTTTCGTTTGCAGACATCTTTGTAACACAGGGTTGGTCTGCCACCTGGCCTGGTGCCAGCTCCCTGAAGAGTACATCCTTGGGGATCCTGCCATCTTCCACGAGGGGGACTGGTGTGCATTGTGCACGCATGACATCACACACTCAGTCTCCTCCAGAGGACACAATGCACACTGGGCACCCTCAGTTTTGGGGGGCAACCTGGCACCTCTGTTTTTCAGATGTATCCCTGGCATATATGCACATCTTATGGTTTATATTAACAATATTCATTTAGTTCATAGAACTAATGGGCTAGACATAAATGGAGTTGCTCCTGATAAATTGCTATTTTTGTTTTGATATTTTTGTGGCCTTAAATTATATTTTATAGTGTGTTTGACTTGGTGCTTGTAAACTGCTTAGGCAGATTTTACCCCCATTGAAAAGTAGTATACACTTTTTTTGGGGTGTGTGGAAATGCTATACAAATGAATTGTCTAATGATTACAAAGTATACTTTACTTTCTTTATTTATAGCGTTTGTCAAATAAACAGCTTCCTGTGCACAAGGAAGGTCAAGGTACATCAAAACAACCAAAATCTCCTCAGATATAATGAAACAATAAATCACTTTTAAAACTTTCACCAAGTGGACTAGCAATTCATTAGGCTTCAGATTTTTTAACACAATAAATATAGGGCTCTTTCTTCCTTGCTCAATGAGAAAGGCTCTATTCTCAGATATGTTGGATAGACCAATTCACTTTAATAATTTTTTTAACATTTCCATAATGTCAGGTTTTCATCTTTTATTACTCTTTTCTGTATTGGAAAATATATTTTCCTAAGTACTGTTCACTATCCATTAAATGTATTGTTTAATATGATCTCTAATTCCTTAAAGGTTAGGGGAAACTACAAATCCTTTTCATATCTGGCATGTCTTAGAAGAAGAAAAACAACACACACATTCTGTTAAAAGGTCAAACAACCATTAACTTAATCATGTTTTTCCTACAGACTTTGGCTTGTATTCTGTTTCAAAATTCTGGTTCACTCTCTGGTCCCACTCACCACTAGCATAGCCCCACTCCCAGAAGTTGCCACAAGGTTCCACACCCCTGCTGTCAGTGGTGCATAAACAATGTGGGTGTGTGTACCTTTGCTTACAAAAATGAGAATGTTAGGAGAAAGGCACACTAGAATACTGAGAAATTTTGTGACAACTTTAAAAAATAAAATGGAAGTGAAAACTAAAGTGACATAACTTAAGATCTGAAAATGAGAAACTAAAAGATGAAACAGGCAGACTGATGCATTCCTAGCTACTTGGCATATTTGTTAGGAAATGTGACTGCCACATCCTGCATCACCTTACACAGATGCAGAATATCCCCCAGGTTTTTCCAAGTTGTGCAGTTGTCCTAGTCCTGACCCATATCTGTTTCCATCATCTAGGAGGTCAGAACATACTTCTCCCTCTGATAAAGGGATGGCAGAATATGGATAAAGAAATGTAGGACTATATCAGAATCACTATGCTTGGAACTGCAATGTAAAAAATAAAAATAGGTCAGACACTCCTCCCGCACTTCATTTTGCTTTAATCTCCACTCTTTCAATTGCATGGCACCTTGTTGTAAAATAAATCTACAGTACTTTGCCATCTATTAGTTGTTTACGGCATTCAGGCTGCAGAAGTATAAACATACCATAGATATCTCAGTGTAGCAAATCCTAAGTAATGAGATTTGGGACAGTTAAATCCTTGTATAATGTTCTCTGCCGTTTTGATTAATACTGTGAATTCTAAAATACCTCTAGGCTATGAAAATGAATGCAAGTCATTATTCAGATGAGTGGAATAAAGTTTTTAAAAATCCATTTTTATACATTTTCGGTTTAGAACGCCTTAATTAGTATTTTACATCAACATTAAAATTGTTAGGATTTTGCATTCCTTAGGAGGTTCCTTGATGGATTTGCAGAGAATTGCAGTGAATGTGTTAACATTTGAGACTCTTTCTCCATGAGAGCAGTTGCCTGCCAAAGGAAAGCTAAAAATTTAAGCCTGTTATGTAAGGGAGGAAGCTTCTACTGGTTTCAGCTAAAAATTCTGCCCTCCAGGCCCCTTTGCAAAGTATTACAGTTACTGGCTGATAAACTGCTTATTGTGGAGGGTTTCTTTGGAAGTACTGCAAGTGCCCATTGAAAATAATGCATTGCAGATCCTGAGGAAATGATATTAACATTTCCTATGCCATCATTTATGGTGATCTTGTCCTGAAAAACTCATAAACACTTTATTTGGTGATTCAGTTTATGCCTTACTGTGTCATTTGGATTGATGCTTGACAGCAATGGTGCCATAAATTATGCATGCCAATTTAGTGAATGCCATTAAACCAAGCAGGTCAGGGTAATTTCAGTAATTATACATATAAATAGTATTATTAGCTCTGTCAATGTCTGTACCTGTGTTATACGTCAACATAGCCCATCAACTGTGTGGGTGAAAAGATTCTGGATTTTGCATAAGGTTGATTGACTGGACTGGTTCCAATTTTAATCTGTTGGGAAACTGATGGAGGTATTTATTCCATTTGGCTGGTGACTATAATCATGCATTACTGCACAGATTTAGAACACTGTTTCATGTTTTGCTTTGCTTGATTTAATTTTTAGAGGCTAAAAATGAAAGAATAATTGCTTCTGCTAAATATGGGAAGAAGCCAGTGCTGTTCACATCATTACATTATGGATGTACAACTATTTCCACAGGGCTTTTCAAGGTTTTTCAACTTTTCCTACCAACCCTTCTATACAGTCCTCCAAATACCAGATATTCTTTGGTATTTAATTGTAACAATGATGCCTAATTATAAATAACTATTAATAACTATTATTTTCAATTCGCTCAATTCAAATCACTGTTCTCCTTAGAGATGCCACCAAAGAACATCATTTACAGGATCAGATTATCTGACTTTGTTGGCTTGTAGTGCTCATCTTCAAAACAACCTAACAATCCAGCTCAGATTTTGATCATGGGACAGATTCAGAAAGTAGGTGGTGGGAAGGGATTTGTTCATGTCATCCGAGTCATGGTAGGATTGATTCTAAACCATATTTTGATTTGGAGTAAGCCAACGTATTTTCTTATATTTTGGGAGAATTCTTCTATTTGCCAAGTTGAATTACAAATTGAATCAGGGAAAATGATACAGCTTTGCTAGTTCTACTGGGGATCCATTATCACTCTCCTGTTTGTTTGTGGTGGCTGGGCTGGGCTGGGCACCCCCCCCCAGGCAGCTTGCAGACACACGCTGCTGCAGGAGAGTGCCTCTGATTTGCTAGTAAAAGTGACTTACCATGTCGTGAAATGATGCATGTCTAAAAAGTGTGTCACTAACATGAACAGTTTGGAAAGCACTGGTTTTCAGGCATTGTATCTGGATGTGAATTTGAAAATTCAAGAGTGCTTGAAGAACTCGATATCATAAGGATCTCTTTTTATAACAGCTGGCAATTGTTACACAAACACAGACTTCCCATGGGCACATGGCTGGTCACTGTGAGGATACTGGATTAGGTAGGCCTTTGGGCTGATACAGTAGTGCTATTCTTATGTCCCTATATACCATTTGGACTGGGAAATTGCTTCAAGAACATGCTCACCCACTTCACAAACACAGAAATACGATAGGGT